TGGAGGGAAACAAATAGGGAAAACGAGGTCCATGAAGCCTCACTGACAATATGAGATGACCAAAGCTTGTTCTATCTCACTTTAAATTAAGAAAAGAAGCTGAAGGGCCTAAAATAGTTAAATCTAGAATAGATTCAGAATTGCGGGGGGTCAAAGGTAGGGCTCCTTATAGATGGATAGTAAAACCCTAATGGGAAGTGACTCATACAAGATCCAAACTGCAAATATTAGGGTCCAGAGTATTATGTGAGCTTTGGTATTTGGTTAAAGCACTGAATCCTCTGAAGAAAATGCCATTTTCTCAAATTCTAGGAGTGTAGGCCTTTGTTCTCAGGCTGGTACAGAGAAGTGGTACTGGGAAAAAGGAAGGTAGAAATCCACATATTTATTAAAACATCATCAGAATATCGTATGTAGAATTTTAGGATATTAACAATTTAAGAGACCATAGGCACAGGATAGTCAAAATCTCCCATTTCACAGACAAACTGAAGCTCAGAGCAGTAAAGGCATTTACCCACTCACTCACTGGATTGGGGCAGCTGGCCTAGATCCAAGTCTCTTGACTCCTTTTATAGTTGCTAAATTATAAATGGGTGTGATTTAGTTTAATGTCATCTAACACATTGGCAATACTTTGTATATTTTTTGTCTCTGCTTTTCTTTTGATAGCTTCTGAACTGGCCATCTGTTAAAACTGAATTCCTCATCTGTTTAAGGCAATGATTGGGTATTTCTGACCCTTAAGGCCCAAAGAATAGAAAACCAGCAGGTGTGTGGTAGTTAAGGAGTTGGACTCCCACATAGCAACTGCAGTTCAAGTCCAAGACCTGGCAGCTCACTCTCGCTCTCTCTCTCTCTTTCTCTCTCTTTGATCAAATTAAAAAATATGATTTTTAAAATAATTCACTAAAATTGTTTCTAAGTATTAAAAAAAAAACCCTAATTATCTAAAATTAGGCAAAAAGAACCCAGGATAACCACATCATTGCAAAACAATTATTTAACTAAAATACACTAATTCTCTGGTGTAAAATTACAAATTTCTCCTTACCACACAGTTTTCACAAAGAGGCTCAAAAATAACCAATATACAAACATCTTTGATGAGTTTTCTTTGTGTAGTAATTTTTTTTATTTTTTGGAGTGGTTTTTGCTATAGGGTGCATGTGATTGCCAGAAAGAGGGAGATAGACAGAAAGCGAGAAATCACCTCCCATGGGGGATGGCCATGCTGCAATCCCTTCACCTCCATTCTCCTCTCAGGATATTGGGCATGCACACGCACATGCGCCCAGTGTAAGTTTAAGCCACCAGATCTGGGACTTGAACCACAGTCGACTACATGGGAGTCCAGGGACATAGCCATTATGCCAACAGCTGGTCCCTCTTTGTGTAGTATTTGTCTGTAGTGACTTTTCTTGTTGTTTGGGGCAAGAATAGAGCCCTTTTAAACTTCTTTAGTTCTCTTTTTCTATTTTATTTTACTAAGAGGATGTCTTTATGTTAATAGGTTCCTATCATTTCAAAGTATATCTAAAATTGAATAATTTATCTTAGCACCAATTCATTCCACTATTTTTGGACATAATTATCTCTTTCTTAAAATTTAGGATATGTGCATAAAATATTTTTGTCAAGGTGAAGTTTGAGCATTGCTGGAAAAATCTTCTGAATGATGTTCCAAAAGAAAATGATAAGCTGAATAGAAAGTTTTGATACTAGGCCCAGAAAATAATCACTAACTTCCCTTTTACAATTATAGCTTGTGTAGGATTTGGTAATAATAAATCATAACATAAAAATAATTTTTCACCCAAAGATGTGAAATCTTTTTAAACCTTGCTTATTGTCACAGTATCAATTAAGGTGACTATCCCTGTTTGCAAAGGAAACTCTATGTCCCGTGTAAGCTGGGATGGTTGGTCACCCTATCAATAAAGAATTGCCTCTGCTTCATTAAGGAGAGGCAAATAGAGAGATATTAAACTGTCTGGTTAAGTAAAGAAACAACTGCAGGGCCAGCAGATGGTGTGGTGGTTAAGGTGCTGGACTCCCACATGGTAGAATTCAGTTTGAGTCATAGACCTGGCAGCTTTTCTCTCTCTCTCTCTCTCTCTCTCTCTCTCTCTCTCTCTCTCTCTCTCTCTCTCTCTCTCTCTCTCTCTCTCATGTGCCCTATAGCAAATTATAAATAATAATAAATAAATTTAAATACTTTTTTTAAAAAAAAAGAAACAATTGCATGAGTTTTGGCTCTAGATAATGTAGAATAACCACTCTCTCACATGAATCCCAAAATCTTTCAAAATTCCCATTACAAATTGATTAATGTCTGTGTGTTCAGGTGAGTTACCAGCCAAAGAAGTTTTTGTTTGTAGTTGGTTTTGATCAATGCACACCCAACCCACATGAAGGAAGTAGTAATAAATTCTATTGTTTTCATTCCAGAAACACCTTGAATAAATAGCAATTATCATCCTGTTACCCAAAATCCAATTAAACAAATAGTTGGCTAATCCAGAGAAGTATAAAATATTACTTTGTAATTTAATATGTATGTCAGTATATTTGCCTATAGTACCGTCGAATGGTTGCATGAATAGATCAATCTGCCATTGTTCAATCCAATCAAATACATCTCTTTCTTTAGATTTATTTTTCACTATGATTTCTACCCACCTACCCTACTGACAATGTTTATGAAACTGGGAATGGAACTACGTACAAATTAATTATTAATGTAGCAACTCTGTGTTGTGGGAGGGGTCATAAACTGAAGGGAGCAAGGACTTGAACTACAGCAACACAGGAAAGATAAGGAAAAGGAATCTACGAACATTTCTTCAGCATCATCGGGTTTTCAAACTTGGCTCACCTCAGAATCACCTGGGTAGATGAGAAAATTCTAATGCCCAGGCCACCTTCTAGACCAATTAATTCAAAATTTTTGAACTTTAGGCCCCAACCATCAATACATTTTTTTAAATTCCCAAGTCACTACACACACCCAAGAAACTACTGCTTTTGTAGCTTTGGGTGAATGCTTTCTTTATTTGTTTGTATGCTCCCCATATTATTCATTTTTTAATACTCACCATAGGAGTTAATTAAAATTACTAGAAAAGTAAGAATCTGGGCCAACCATGTTGTATGGTGGTTAAGGTAGCTGGATCCCACATAGCCGACTACAAGTTTCAAATTTCAGACCTTGCAGGCATGTGTGAGTGCATGCCCAAAATCCAGAGAGGAGAATAAAGGAGAAGGGACTGTGGCCTGGCCATCCTCCCTGCAGGGGAAAGAGGGGTAAATTCTCACTTTCCCACTCTCTCTGTCTCTCTTCTTCAAGTGCACTCACCCTATGGCAAAAATCTTTTTTAAAAATTAAATTAATAAAAGGGACCAGCAGTTAGCATAATGGCTATGTCGCTGGACTCCCATGTAGTCGACCACAGTTCGTGTCCTGGACCTGGTGGCTTAAAACTCCCGCCGGGTGTGTGTGCATGCATGCCCAAGATCCCAAGAGGAGAATGGAGGAGAAGGGATTGCAGCGTGGCCATCCCCCCTGGGGGGTGATTTCTCGCTTTCTGTCTCTCTGTCTGGTAAGCGCACGTGCCCTATAGCAAAAACCTCTCAAAAAAAATTAAATTAATAAGATATAAAGAATAATACATTATTTGCTCCATGACAATAGCTGATTTAAGGTTAACTAGTCCATTTGCATCCTACTAACTTTTAACCAAGAATTTTTTAGACATTTTGACACCAAAACGGATGTCAACAGACCTCTACCCATTAACCATAGATAAAGTATTCAGGCTTCCAAGAAAAAAAGTCAAAGTCTACCCTCTTCAAAGACGGCAGAGAGTAAAGCCATTGCCCATACATGCTCACAGCTTTCCTCTTTGCCCTTCGCAAATGAGAACAAGCAGTGTCATTCCGATCTGGAGAACCAGACATTCCTCATTCGTCGCTAGAGCAAGCCCAGGTATACTCGTCTCCTTATCATTGAGTTGCAATTGCTTTTGACTCTGTCTTTTAAGTTCCTCATTCCAGGGGCATTAACAATTTCTTTATAAATATTTATGCTTACAGTATTGCACAGATCAAGAGTTTCACTGAAAAGTAATCTGTTTTCAATGTAGGTAAGCTTTTTTCTCCTTCACCAAGAAACTAAAAGACAGTTACAGACTAAGATAATCATAATTATCAGGTAATTCCTAGTTGTAATGTTTAAATCTGTAAGTCATTAAGACCCCTGAATATAAATATTTCATTCTTTCTGCACAAGAGTCATTACAATGCTATACTTTAAAGGCTATACTCATACATTCCCTTAAATAACGAATACCTTTAAAATCTGGGTTGCTTATCTCAATTATCTTGCTGGTTATTCGTATATTATAACAAAGTTGGCTTTCCAACATACTACGTGCCTAAGTTTATCCCTGTGTATGACTCATCCTCCACCTCGTTTATTATATTATAACATCTGCATGTCAACATCTTTCTGAAAAGAATCAGAGAGTTTCTAGAATATATTTCCTATGAGGTCATGCAAAAAGGAAAAGACAGCACCTCTGTCTCCTTAGCAATCCGATGACCTAATCACACAGGAATTTTACTTAAGAACTGTGTGTGCCTGCGTGCACGCGCAATCACTCCAGTGCACAAACTGCCTTACTCACCAAAACTTCTCTTTGAAATTTAAATGAGAATTCCTCTAATAAAATTATGAATCATCTAATAAAAGCAACAAGTCAATTTATGCTAATTTTGAGGTACAAATACACAACATAACA